AAGGAACACCCTGCGACGTACCACTACTATTACACGAACACCGCGAAGGAAACCCGTGGCGAACACCGAGAAGGAAGACTTCAGTATATATAAAATCAGTGTAATCAAGCCGTCATAATGGAGCAAGAGGCGAACACATATACATCAATTGTCGAAGAAATTCGGAAGTTATCACACGAAGTGGCTGCACTCAAAGCTTCCCAGCATCACACCTTTTACCAGCAACAGTACAACCAGCGCAATCAGCAACACCGAAGATCACCTTTTCGTCGCAACCGCTCTGCAAGTAGAAGTCGAATAAGCTCAACATCAAGATCCCCTTACTGCTACTATCATCGACGTTTCGGGTTCGACGCAAGAAAATGCACAGAACCGTGTACATTCAAAAATGAAAATACGAATACGGAAAACTAACTAGTACGCTCGATGCGACGGAATCCAGCGTAACAGCAAAGTCCTACCGTCTTTTCGTCACCGATAAAAAAAGCAAGCTTACTTTCCTTATCGACACCGGAGCAAATATCTCAGTGTTACCGCCGAAGCAAGGACAGAAGTTGAAGCCACTGGATTTTCAACTCTATGCAGCAAACAATACGGTGATTCCTACATATGGAGAAAAAACAATGGAACTTGATTTAAATCTACTCCGACCATTCAAATGGAGATTTATCGTCGCTAAAGTCAGCAAACCAATCATCGGTGCTGATTTTCTTCAACATCACCAGTTAATCGTCGACATCAAAAATAGAAGAATCATCGACGGGAAAACCAATCTTGCATCTCAGTCTTTTGTCCAAGCAACCAATCTGCCCACAATAAGAAGCATAGATGAGCAACAACCGTATCACAAGATCCTCGAAGAATACCCTGGTATCACAAGAATAACTTCAATGAAATTAACACCGAAGAACGACGTTGAGCATTTCATCGAAACCAATGGACCACCACTTCATTGCCGTGCACGTACAATCGCACCACACCTATACGAGCAAGTTCGGAAGGAATTCGAAAACATGATTGAGCAAGGAATATGCCGTCCAAGCAAAAGCCCTTGGTCATCACCATTTCACATTGTACCGAAGAAGAACGGAGAATTACGAGTTTGTGGAGATTACAGAAGACTGAATTCCTTTACCACTCCTGACCGCTACCCAATACCGCGAGTCAGGGATTTCACTCATCAACTATCAGACAAGACTATATTCTCCACCATCGATCTCAACCGAGCTTACCAACAAATAAGAGTACGCGATGAGGACATAGAGAAGACAGCAATAATTACCCCAATGGGATTATTCGAATTCCCAAGAATGATCCCAGGATTAAAGAACGGAGGTCAAACTTTCCAAAGATTCATACACGAAGTACTTCATGGACTGGATTTCGTTTTCGCATTTATTGATGATCTCCTTGTTGCAAGCCCTGATAAAGAAACGCACGAAACACATCTACGCACCGTGCTAGAGCGATTAGAAGACAACGGAATCACAATCAACCCTTCGAAATGCATATTTGTATAACAAGAACTTCAATTTCTTGGTTTCACCGTCAGCAAGAAAGGAATCAAACCGCCTGCCGAAAAAGTCAGAGCAATCATCGATTATGCAAAGCCTAAAACTATCGAAGAGCTAAGGCGTTTTCTTGGGATGATAAATTTTTACAGATAACACATACCTAAAGCCGCGGAAATCCAAGCACTACTTCACGCCTACCTTCACAACACGAAGAAAAAAGATAAAACGTCAATTGAATGGAACGATGAAGCCACGAAGGCATTTGAAGCTTGTAAAGTTGCGATCCAAAATGCAGCTTTACTCGCTCACCCATCACACGAAGCAACCCTTGCTATCTTCAGCAACGCATCCGATCTCTCAGCAGGAGCCGTTCTCCAACAATACAGCAATGGGAAATGGCAACCACTTGGCTATTTTTCGAAGAAGTTCTCCGATACTCAACGTAACTACAGTACATTCGACCGAGAGCTACTCGCTATTTACATGGCTATCAAGCACTTCAGAAAAACGTTCGAGGGTCGAAACCTGATCGTTTTTACCGACCACAAGCCATTAACATACGTACTTCCAAAGAAACCATCACTATCGGAAACACCACGAAGAGCAAGACAACTTATTTTCATAAGTGAATTCACGACCGACATACGTCATATCAGTGGAAAGGACAACATAGTCGCCGACGCACTCAGCCGCGTACCAATCGACAGCGTAACGTGCCCTACATCAATCGACTATCATAAGATCAGCAGCACAAGACAGAGATAGTGACAACATAAAACATCTATCGAAGCAAGGTAACTTGTCCATCAAGCAAGTTACAATGCCAATGACGCATCTACCTATATACTGTGAAGCCTCAACGACAACCATGCGACCATACCTACCAGAAGAATGTCGTCGCGAAGTCTTCAATGCACTGCACAACATCAGTCATCCAGGTGTTAGAACAACAAGAAAACTCATCACTGAAAAATTCTTTTGGCCTTCAATGCAAGTGGATGTTGGCAACTGGGCGAAGCAATGCATTCAATGCCAAAATGCAAAGTACAAAGGCATACATCAAGTAGCCTAGCTACATTTCCACCCACGGAGAGATTCGAACACCTGCACGTTGACATCGTTGGACCATTACCTACTTCACCGCAAGGACATCGTTATCTCGTAACAATGATCGACAGAACAACAAGATGGCCAGAAGCAATACCTACCGATGATACTTCAGCCGAATCCGTCGCGAAGATAATTTATGAAAATTGGATTACTCGTTTCGGATCACCCAAAAACCATCACAACGGATCAAGGAAGAAACTTCGAAAGCAACCTATTCCTCAAACTTCTTCAAACTATGGGAACACAGCAGACACGTACAACAGCATACCATCCCCAGTCAAACGGAATAATCGAACGCTGGCATCGTACATTAAAGACCGCACTCAAAACTCGTTTATCTCAACATACAAAGTGGATTGATGAGCTCCTTACAGTGCTACTCGGACTACGAGCAACACCGCGTGCAGACACTAGTCTTAGCGCCGCTCAGCTAACCTACGGCTGCATCATAAGACTGCCGTGTGACTTCTTCAGTTCAGCAGCGTCAAAACAAACAAGAAATGGATTACGATTTCGTAACTCAACTTCGAGAATCAATCAACAAAGCCTTATCGTCGAAGTGCACCGAAATGCAATCACACAGAAATAATAAATCAGTATTCATTCACCAATATTTGAAAACATGCAAGCAAGTTTTTGTAAGAAACGACGCAATGAAAAAACAATTTCAACCTACCTACGATGGACCGTATAAAGTATTAGAGAGAAATAGCAAGACTTTTAAACTGCAAATACCCGGAAGGAAATCTACGATTATTTCGATCGACCGACTAAAGCCTGACTATATTATTAAAGAGAATACTTCAGAGGATTCATCATCATCATCAAAACCACCAGCGAGGAAGCTTGAAACTCCATCATCTACATCAACCCAGTTGAAACCTATTTTAAAAACTACGAGATACGGGCGAGTCGTCAAGCCTCCGGTACGCTTTCGCTAGGGGGAGAGTGATGTAGCAGCCAGACTAATCAACCCTAAAAGGGAGTGAATAATATATACTCTGCTGCTACCATAACGCTGAAGGCGAGGATAAAAAACATTTATTTCCTAACTATCCTTGGCTACTGCGGACTGCATATAGATAATTTGACGTTCTTATAAAGAAACAAGAAGCAGCCGCAAATATCATTCAGCGCCACATTGACTTCACACGCCGCTATCGTCACGTATCCGTCGACCAATGGTGAGCCGTTTCTTCAACGCCGCAGTTCGCTTCTTCTCGCCGTTCCGGAGCTGTATTCCACGCCGCCGCCGCTCACCGACTACGCGCGCGCACCGATCTGCATGTCTCTTCGTGAACAAGAAAACAAGTCTCACGCCGGGAAACGAAACGTAGATAATAGTTGTATATTTTGAATAATTTTCATTGGTCATAATATAAGCATTATAATTGGCTAGATAAAATAAAAATTGTTACCATTGGCAAATCAATTGTGAGCCAGCCATATAAATATAGGCAAGGTTGATGCAAATATATTCCATTCCACATTCATTCCATATTCATACCTCAATCGGACTTACATAAACAGTCGTTTCATTTCTCCACCTTAAAACCACTCGGAGTCTGTTAATAGTGGACCGTTCATCTCCACTATTACAGTCTACATTTTTGTCTGCCACCCTTTGCTTCATCAAATTCCAAACATACTCAATTGGGTTAAGGTCACAATGGTAGGGTGGCAGACGTAATACCTTTTGTCCATGAGATCTAAATATTTCATCGATGAAATATACCTTCTCGGGCTTATGTCTTTTAATTAACATATACAGTTCTCTTTTTGTCATTTTCTTGTCAAATTCGATGTTGTGTTCTTGCAGACACATTTGCATTACGTTTTTACGTGCACTGAAATTTGGCGGCTTATTCACCTGCTTGCTGTGGTACGGTGCGTTGCCATGACAATGATACCGTTGGGTGGAAGATTCGGTATCAATTTCTCTTCGATCCATTTTGTAAAATTTGATGCATCCATTTCGTCATGGTAATCACCGGTTGTTGACTTACATTTATAAAGGAGCTCGGCACCTTGTACGAAACCATTCTCATTGCCTGCGTGTACCACAATCCAGCGCTGACCAGGAGAGTGATTAGTTCGAATACTGGAATCACTACTATTTTACCAACATTTCGAGACAGTAATGTGAATGTATCCAGGTGTCGTCGATGGAGGTCACTGGTTTTTTTTCGGCACCACATTCGTCATTTTCTTTCAATCGCCTTAAATATTTTGCTCTCCAGGCTGCTATTTCAGGTCTTTGCACCAAAAAATCGCGTTTACGTTTACATTTCTTAAACCTGTACCCCAAAGAATTTATTAGTATATTTCTTAAGGCGTCTTTTTTTCCGGGAAAGTTCAGCTCCTGCTTGGCTATACTCAAAATCTTTTTAATGTAGTTATTTCTTTTCTGGTGGTATAAAAACTTTCAACTAAAGAGCGTATGGCGCATAACTTAAAACTATCTAGATCAATTTTCTTTTTGTATTTTTTACGCTTCTTCCCTGGTGTCGAGAGCATAATAGTGTCCGTGGTAACTGAAGCTGACGTACTAGGTTGTGGGTCTTCTTCGAAGGACGTCATATCTTCCTGAATATTTGCCTCTCTAGTTGATTCTGACAAAACTTGTAACTTTTTTGCTTCACTTTTTATTTTCATTATGATCGTTTTAGATAAACCAGTTGCTGCACATGCCCTTTTTGTTGCTTGTTCAACCGGGATACTGAAACAGCCTTGTTGTCTTTCATTGCCAAAGAATTTAATTACTTTGAGCACTAAATTCCACTCGGCACTATGTATAGTCATACCCATCTTGTAAGTAGTCTATTGTAATAATAGTAATATTTCACCAAACAGAGAAACAAACAATAATGCGATTACGAAAGCGAGATTAATATACGTTCGTCGGCGCTTGCGTTGGCAACGGTACTGGATAGACGATAACGGGCGGAGGTGCGGGGAAGCGCGAGGGGAACCGCATTCCAGCGAGGTTCGCAGATATTTCCGACGTGTTGTACATGAGCATACACTACACACACACTACACAGCAGAGTCGTAGTTAAATTAACACATTAATAATATGTTGTTATCATATCGATATTGAAACAAATATTTTGTCGTATTAACATAGATTTTGTCCAATTTTTATTGATGGGGAAACTGTTTACAGTTATTACATATACTTTTTTTAACTTCCTTAAATCTCATTGTAATAGGTTGTACAGGAACGGGAGGCAGGTGCTCTTCAATGATTGATTTATTGAACTTTTTGCTGGTTATATTTAAATCGTCTTATTTCTAACAGTGTGTATTAGGTAATAATAAACACTTTAAAACAGATCTTACCACTAATTGAACGACGTGCTGTGATAGGTCGCCGACAATGACGAGCTTGACAATAATAAATAAGCCGCTGTGACTGAAATTCGGTCTGGAGAACATTACATACATTACGTCAAGGCCCTAGGACCACGATTAGCCCAAAAATATAGGTATAAATGGAAATTTGTGAAACAAGTGATAGGTGGAAAGCCCATTGGACACGCAATCACAAACCAAATATCAATAACATACTAGATATTCGTTCCACGATTGAAAAGGGAAATAAGTAGTTGTATTCTAGCGGGCTTCACCCAGAAGGATGTGAAAATTGAGCCGAAAAGAATAAAGAAGAATTTGAGAGGTAAATTCGCACCTGTGTGATTTTTAATTCCATTTAAAACTTTAATAATTTGAGATTTTTTAATGTTGTTTTTGCTTTTAAAAAAAGTTATGCATAAAATTTTCTGTATTTAAAATATGATTAAATTGAAAGTATTTATCAGATAATTCACGATTTAGTTGGTTTTTTTTATATTTATATTACTGAAAAAATAAGCACAATGCAATAATTATAAATTAATCAATAATCTAGCACTTGATTTTATATTCAATTTTATTCGGTTATAGTTTTATATTATTTTTATTACTGTGTCCTGCAAAACATGAAAGAAATAATATGAAGATTACATTTTTACGTATTTACACTTACAATTGTTTATCATTAATTAATTTTTCATATTTTGTAGTACACACGAAATGTACATAAACATACATAATGTTTATGTATGTACGAAATGTATCACTGATGATACATTTCGTGTGTGTTTTTTAAATGTACACAATTTTGAAAAGAGTTATAACCGATTTGCTATTATTGTTTTTTTTTCTTTTCTAAAGGCATTAAGCCATTAATTTATATAATAACCTACCTAAAATATTAAAAATTGTTATTTGTAACGTTTAAATAAATTAATCTATCGTTGTGTGAATTTTATAGCTGTTATAGTGATTTTTCTTAAAAAAGCATTTTTATAGCATAAGTATTTTTTTAAAAAGCTATTTATTAAAATCAAAATGTTTAACATCAATTATTAATATGTTTCAGTTGTAAAGACTTGACAGACAAAGTCTGAGACCAGTGGCGAAGCTTCCATAAAAGCCGAAAAGCCGGGCTTGCCTTATTAAAACTGAATCAATTAATAATATCAACTAATAAAATAACTCATAAACTGTTTCAAATTATTTCAATTTTCCCGCGCACTCCACTGTTCGACACATGTCGACCGATGACCTCGTATTGCCTTAGCGATACGTTTATACAAAGGTACTCTGTGGCGATACTGCTGATGTCATAAAGTGAGTTTTAATAGAGCGATTAGTTGTCTCCCTCGCTCGCGTGGGCTTTTTACGGGGCTTTCGAGAAGACGATCGCTCTCTTTCTAACCTATGGCAAAATATTCTATAATGAAATATAACAACGAAATGTTTATATAGCAATTACTATTGAGCCAACAAGCCTGGCTTTGCCATGAAGTTGTTTAGGAGTGCGTTAGCGACTAGCGCAGTGGTTGCGGGCCCCTCGTATGCAAGTTCACTTCAGATTTCAATGTTTATGTTTGTTTTTGTTGTGTTTGTTAAAAATTGTGTTTGTGAATTTTAGTGAAAATGGGAGGATAATAGTGTTCATTGTGATGAATATAAGTGTGTTGAAGTGCTAATCGGCGAGGAAAAGGTAAAAATCTTTAAAAATGAAATTTAATATTCAATAAACATTTCTTCATACTTTAAATATAGGTACAGGACTCTTTAGTATTAAAGTTTAATTAAGTTAGGCGTATTTAAAGGTTTAATAACTCAATATTTATATTACCATACGAATAAAAACCACTAGACCAACAGGCCTGTTGGTCTAGTGGTTAGTGACCCTGACTGCTATACCGGAGGTTGTGGGTTCGATTCGCACCCAGGACAAATGTTTGTGTGATGAGCACGATCATTTGTTCTGTGTTTGGGTGTAATTTATCTATAATATTTATGTATTTAGAAATATATAAGTATGTTTATCAGTTGTCTAGTACCCATAACACAAGCTCTGCTTAGCTTGGGACTAGATGGCGTTGTGTGATAGTTGTGGAATATTATTATTATTGTGGGGTATCTATATAGTTTTCTCATCTGGTTGGGTTCTATAAATATATAATTATAAATGAAAATGAAAAGATAAATATACATAAATATCAATAACATAAAATAAATATAAAAGTACATAAATAAATAAAAGCCCAACCAGATGGAGGCCCTCGGCAGGGGAGACCAAACGGCCGAGAGTTAGGGGGAAAGGGAAAGAAACCGGCGGACGATGCGGGCGGTATCGAGGAGCACCGCCTTCTGCATTTGAACCTGGAGCGGTCCGCCACGTAGTCCCAGCCGCCTCAGATGACCCGAGAGGCTGACTGGGATTAGCCCGTTTGCAGAGACGACTACAGGAATAATTTCGGTCGGCAGACCACCCCACATGTCGGTCACCTCGCGAGCCAGGTCCAGATATTTTGTTTGCTTGTCTGTTTCGGCTTTCACGAGGTTCTCGTCATACGGAATGGTAATGTCGACCAAAAATATCCTTGACTGTGCCCGGTCCATCAGCACAATATCAGGCTTATTCGCAAGAATAGTCCTGTCTGTGATGATGGCCCGGTCCCAATAGAGCCTGGCGCGATCATTTTCGAGCACGGCTTCCGGCAAGTACTTGTAGTACGGAAATTTCCGGTCCACGAGACCGTATTTCAGAGCGAGCTCCTGGTGTAGAATTCTGGCTACTAGGTTGTGCCTGTGCAAGTACTCAGAGTTAGAAAGCGCCGAACAACCGGAGATAACATGCCTAAGGGACTCACCGGGATGGCGAAAAGCTCGACAGATGTCGACGGTGCCATCCTTTAGGATGTATCTCCGATAGTTGTTGGTCTTAATAACCTGATCCTGTATTGCACAGACAAAACCCTCGGTTTCCCCGAAGAGATCACCAAAGCGTAGCCAGTGGAGGGAGGCTACTGTGTCTACGAAAGGCTCATGTAGAGCCTTGTAGAACCTCCCGTGGAGCTCCTTCTCCTTCCATACGGTCTCTCGGTCGGAAATGCTCTGCACTGCCGGGTCTTGCCATTGCTCGTTGGCTAAGGATAGAGGGGTAAGTCCTTTATCACAAGAAATGACGTCCATATAGAATGGATCATCCGATCTCGCCAGGAAGTAATGACGGAGGCTGCACACTTCGCGATTATGCATGGTGAGCGCGCTCAAGAAGCCACGACCACCATGCTTCCGCGACAAGTACAACCTCATTACCGACGATCTCGGATGATGCATCCTATGGGACGTCATGGTAGTGCGGACTTTTCTATCCAGGGCGTTAAGTTCAGTCTGAGTCCACCTGAGTATGCCAAAGGTATACATGAGGACAGGCATGACCCAGCCGTTATATGCGTGTGCCTTATTCACACCGGACAAAAGGCTGTTAAGCACTTTGGTCAAGCGTGCATAAAACACGTCGCAAACTGACTGTTTCATACCAGTCTCATCGATACCGATGTTTTGTGACATACCCAGGTATCGGTATGTTTCAGCCTCGGAAAGGGTCCTTAAGTTGACGGGCATAGATAAGTCTACGCCCTCAGAGTTAGCAACCCTTCCCCTTTCAACATGGAGGACCGCACACTTATCCGTCCCAAGCTCCATTCCAATGGAATTGCTAAATTCACAAGTGATGTTTAGCAATTCCATAAGATGGGAGCGACTGGAGGCGAATAACTTGAGGTCATCCATATAGAAAAGGTGGGTCACTTTTGTCCCTCCTCTCCGTAGCTGAAATCCCCTCCCGGAGCCCTCCAGTAAGGTACTGAGAGGGTTCAGAGAGAGGCAGAACCAGATTGGACTCAGACAATCGCCCTGGAAGATACCCCTTCTTATCCTTATGTGGTTCTCCGCAGCCATCATCCGCTCGCCCAGATGACAAAGGATCGTACTCCACTGCCCCATACACTGCTCAAGGAAGTCTCTAACTGTACAGTCTATCTTGTACAGCTCGAGGACTCTCTTTAGCCATGTATGGGGCACCGAGTCGAATGCCTTTCTGTAGTCTATCCAGGCGGCGAAGAAGTTCCGACGGTTGCGTTTCACCACTTTGCCAATGACCGCGTCAATGAGGAGTGGTTCCTTGGTTCCACGACCACCGCCCCGACATCCATTTTGAGCGCGCGACATCACCTGATTTGAGTCCAGGTGACAAGTGATTCTCGCGCTCAAAATGGATGTTAGTGTCTTGTATATGGTCGGTAGACACGTGATGGGGCGGTATTTGCTCGGGTCTGTGGTACCCTGGTCTTTAGGAACCAAATGAGTGATTCCAGTAGTGAAGAGGCTTGGGAGCGACTTCTGGTTGAGAGCCTCTTGAAACTGTCGGGCAAGCACAGAGTGACACACCATGAACCCCTTCAGCCAGTAGTGATGCAGCCCGTCAAGCCCCGGACTTTTCCAGTTCGGGGCCCTACGGACCGCCTCAGCTACGTCATCCGGCGTTATGATGACGGGGTCCATGGGCGTAATACCCGCACACTGACTCGCCACAACTTCCGTCCAAGGGCCCTCGCTGTGGTTTACGGGCTCTGACCACAGGCCGCGCCAGAATGCTACAGTGTCGGCCTGATTCGGTGCTGGACCCGTTCCACTTACCATTGGTCGCTCCAATGATTCATAGAGCCTCTTGTGATCACTCTGAAAGAGACGATTCTGGTTGAACCGAGTCGACCTCTCGGTATATCGCCGAATCCGTTTTCCCCAAGCAGCGATTCTCTGCTTCAGATCATCTATGCTCTCCGTCAGTTTTTGCGTTATATCCGGCTGGGACAAACTGACATTTGTCCCAGCAAACGCCATCCTGACGGTGCGCACAATTCTTGGCCTGTTGTTGCCTGATCTGAAGCATATCAGTCTGCCGATGAGAGCTCTAGCCTTTGCGATACGTTCCTCAATTCTTCTTCTCCATGCTGGGATAGCGCTACTATGGCCAGTAGCGCGTCCAGCCGTGGAAACCTTGGCGCCTAGGATACGGCAGACTGCCAGCGCGGCGCCAAAAAGAATTGAGTCCGTCTCGCAAAGGTCCCGGCTGGCTTCCAAATAGGTCACCAGCATTGGGTTCAGAGCCCTCACGACAGCCCGATTCCGCTTGCTTAGGGCTATGCGGGGAAGTCGCGGTCGATTTTCGAGAGGCGTACTGCGCGTTTCCACAATCGCCTCTTCCAATGTACTCCTCATATGCTCTAATTCCAGTTCCTGGGCGACTGTTCCATCATCGTTTGAATCAACCACAACTGGGGTATTCACGGCGGCATCCACGTTTGCGGGTTGCTCTACCATTTGTGGCGCCGCATCCTCAGCCGTAGCATTCTCATCCGACGAGGGAACAGCCTCACGTCGTAGCCGTTCGAGTTCGGCGACATCAAATATATTTGAGCGCAAGATATACCGAACTCGGTCTGCCAGGTTTTGCTCTGTGACGGTTAAAGATGGCTCCAGCTCAGCAAAAAGACGATGCATCCTAGCCCGATACGCCAAACATCCAGTTTCTCCCCCTTTCGCCCCAAAATTATTATTATTATTATTATTATATTATTAATTAAAAATATCAATTTGAACAGCAGCATAAAGTATGAGACCTAGGCTTAATTTTAGAGGAAATAAGTGTTACAATCTTTTTTTTAACGTGAAGCCCAAATTTTAATTAATAAATCAAAAGAATACAGAAGAATGTATTGAGGTTTTTAAAGAACAGTACTCCCTTTAGTTATTTCCAGTTAGGTTTCTCTGTCTACTTTTCAGTATTTAAAATTTTAATGGCGCCATCTACTTAATTCTATAGGTAGTAATTTTATCGAACGAAAATTGGTTGATTCTCACGATGGTACCTAAAGATTACGCTAGATGGCACAAATACGCTATCGGCTAATTTTTTTTTTTTTCCATTTATTGTGACACAAACAGTCATTAAAAAGAAAGTACAATATTATAACATTACATAATTAATAGACAACGAGTGCCGAAGAAATACATTAGAATAACATTTCAGTTTAGCTTGTTGAAAGATTTACCCATGTTAGTTGAAGCTGAGTAGTAAATTTATCTTTATGTAACAACAGTACAGTAAAGCTTAAAATAGGTAACTTAATTAAAGTTGAAAAACATACATTTTTAAGGGACAATAATTAATACATCGTAGAGATTACCGAATGTTACGCTGTCAAGTATTCATCTAAATAACTCTTAAAGATACTTCGTTTAAGACTTTTTAAGGAGCAACTAAAGAGATCGAGATTTACAAATTCTTTATTGTATAATTTTAACGAACGGGAGATAAAGCAGTTTTGTGTATATTTTTTTCGAAGTGTAGGTGGTACGAATGTTTGAAATACACGTTGAGGGCGAGCGGGCAGACGAAAGTTACTTTTAATGTTTATTTTGGCTAATAAAGGAGAGCAGTCAATTTTATTATTTAGAATTTTATACAAGAAAATGATATCGAAATATTTACGGCGATCACTGAGACTCAACATTTTATGTTTATGAAGGGAGTTAATATACGGTTCGCCATAAAGGTCACAGCGGTAATTTAAAATCTTAATAAATGTTTTTTGGACCTTTTCAATTCTATCAATATGGTTTTTATAAAATGGACACCACACTATACAGCCGAAGTCAAGAATGGATCTTACAAATGAGAAATAAAGGATTTTAAGAGTGATAGTCTTATTGAATGGTTTAGTTATTCTATTAATGAAACCGAGGCTTCTAAAAGCTCTTTTTATAGCTAAATCTATGTGGTCATTGAAGGAAAGCTGATCGTCCATGTTGATGCCCAAGTCACGAATGTTTCTAACACGACTAAGAGCCTTCCCAAAAAGAGTATAATTATAAGTTAAGAGGTTTGATTTTCTTGAGTAATTTATTATAAAACATTTATCTGCATTGAGGTACAAGTGATTACTTTCACAATAATTACATAAGCTCTCAATATCCGATTGTAGTTTGTGGCAATCTTCAATAGAATTTATTGTCCTGAAAAGTTTGGTGTCATCTGCATACAATAAATGATGGCTGTTATGTAAGACATCACCTATGTCATTGATGTACAAGGAAAAAAGCACAGGGCCCAGATGAGAGCCTTGTGGGACCCCAGAAGGGGCCACAAGAAAGGACGAGCAGTAACCATTCAAACAGACTGCCTGGCTGCGATTTCGTATATATGATTCGATCCATCTAAGCAGACTTCCATGCACTCCTAATCTCCAAAGCTTTTTTAGAAGTATGTCATGGTTAATTTTGTCAAAAGCTTTGGAGAAGTCGGTGTACACGACATCAACCTGGGTGTTATTATCCATTGCATTAAGAAGGAAGTCTGTAAACATGACCATATTGGTGTCCACACTGCGCGATTTCATAAAGCCATGTTGATTTTCATCGATATGATTACGCACAACATATGACAATTGATTAGTTACAATCTTCTCAAAAATTTTACTAAGGACACATAACTTAGAAATTGGCCGATATTGAGTAATTTGATCTTTTTGTGAGTTCTTTGGTATTGGAGTAATGAGAGCCCGTTTCCATACACTAGGAAACATTCCAGTTTTCATAGATAGTCGAAAAATATTAGATATCGGTTTTAACAACTCTTTAGCACAACGCAATATAATCACTGGGTGCACTCCATCCGGCCCGGCACCTTTATTTATATTGACATTCTCTAGTTCTTTAATAATGATGTCATCACTTAAGTAAATTGTATTTATGGATATGAGCGGATCAGTATTTAAATTATTATCTAATTTACTATTATTATAATTGGTGGACGGCCTAACAAAAACAGATTGAAAGTAATGGTTAAAGGCATCGCAAATGTCGTTACCGTCAGACAGGGTCTCACCTTTGTAAGTCATTTTTTGAGGGATGGTACCAGTCATTCTCTTCGATTTGACGTAAGACCAAAAGAATTTAGCATTAGATTCAATTTTCTGTTCAGAGAGGGTAATGAAATTTGAGTAACATTCACTTTCCATCTTGCGCAGTTTCGATCTTAGCATAGAAAATGTATTGTAGTCTGCTTCATTATGATAAGTTTTCCATTTTTTATGGTATTTGCGTTTTTCTTTATCGAGTTTAATAAGGGGACGATTGTACCACGGGGGATATCTACTTGTATCGTGTACAATGCGGGATGGTACATGTTTATCTATAAGACTATTAAGAATTTCATAAAAATATTTAACTCTATCCTCAACGTCAGGCATAGTACAAAATTTTGCGTCCCAGTCTACGGAGACTAATCCCTTTCTAATACTATCAAAATCTGACCGAAAGAACAATTTTTTGTTTATTGTGTTGGTTTTGAGGGATTTGTGTAAGTGAAGAGGAAGTTCAATACATAAAGATTTATGATGGGCATCTTCAGCTATTAAGGGACTGTCACAGGCCCGTAAACAGCAAGCAGTCGTGCAAAAAACTAAGTCAAGTAGTCTGTTATTTACGTTAAATTCATAATTAAATTGTGATAATAGGGAAAGGTTCATGAAATCGCTAGTGAGGGCTATTAATGGATCATTACTTGTTCTTATGTTCATGCTACCTATGTCGTCATCATAAAACCACTCTGCATGTGACACATTAAAGTCACCTAAAATAAGAAATAAATCGTTAGGATTTGTGTTAATTAGATCACTAGTTCTATCGTAGAATGATGCTAGTAAAGATTCGTGTCGGACGCCGTGAGGTATATAGGTACAGGCAAGGTGTAAATACAATACCGCGTTCGCAACGTCGTCAGTAGGTATAGGCCGGGTGCGCAACGGAATGCTCACCCACAGCTCGTCGGCGGGCGGCGGGGCGCACCAGCGCGTGCGCAAGCTTGGACACAGCTCGCGACTCACTGCTATTATGACGCCACCGCCACGCGTGCATTGCGTGGAAAAAGAGTCTCGATCGCATCTAAATACCTCGAAGCGCTCATCAAAAAATTCAGAATTGAAAAATCCTTCATTTAGCCATGACTCAGTGATACATATCACATCAAAATTACAATTTAGAATGCTTTTAAGAAAGTCGTGAGATTTAGTTCGCAAGCCCCTAACGTTTTGATAATAAATTGATATTGTTTTACGAGTAGCCATTTCATAAAATTAGGTTATTTATTATAGAAAATAATAGAAAAACAATGTTACATTCGTACCACATTATTTTAATATTTTTTTTGGTGCTTATTAAGAGGGTAGATAGGTATTTCAATTCACAATAATTATTATTTTGAATCTCCCTATATCCTGTAGTGACACCTATAGAATATTTATTTTTTGATTTAATTAGCAATTTATGGATTTTAAAGAAATTATAGTTATCAGATATTTGTTCATTAAAAAGTAAATAATAGCACATAAATAAATATTCACAGCGCAATGATGCATGCTTATATTGACTATCGTATACAGCGTCAAGAGTTATAAAATTAAACACAGTACAACGGCTCAAATGTAATAAACACATAAATGCAAAAAAAAAATCGACACAATGTTAACAAAGTATACCTTATCAATAAGTAGTCATATTTTGTTTAAATCGTGTTCATTGGATATTTGTATTATTTTAGATGTATCCGATTTGCGCAAAAACATTTTACAATCCCGTGACCAAATATACTTATAATGGAGTTCTTTACCTAGTTTACGCGCTTTTCCAAATAAGATTTTATTATGTGGTGCCAGATGGTCATTAATAAAAACCGGTCTTGAGGCCGTCCAGGCCTAAGTCAGCTGTAGTCAGGCCGCGGCGCACGCGCACTGCCGCCAACATGTCGGATTTTCTTTTTCTTTGAGTAAATCGTACTATGATATTCGGGATGTCAGATGATTCTCGACCAAGCATGGTTTTCTTATTATCATCATTACGAGGATATCGCCTGACTCTGTGAATATAGTCGACATCAGAAGGTGATATTATGAATCCAACCTTAGTTGCGATGCAGTTTAGGATAGTATTGAGGTTTTCGCTTCTCTTGAACGGGATTCCGGCAATCTCCAAATTATTCAAGCGACCTTGCTGCTCTCTGTCGCCGAGCTGTGTGGATAGGGAGGTAATGACGTGGTTTTTTTCAGACAATTCTTTTTCTAGGGTACATACTCTCATATTTGTCGATTCAATTTGTTTATTCAGGGTCGTTATGTTAAGTTTAATGTCATTAATTTCACAGGACATGTTTTCGGTAGTTTTATTCAGGTAAGACATATGCTGCTTCACATCACTGATATCCTCACACAACTTGCATATTTTGTCACTTTGCTGGTCAAGCAGTTCCTTTAGTGATGCCATCATACTTTCCTTAAAAGCTGCTAACGTCTCGGACATGTCACGACAATATGAAGAAAGCGAGTTACTCAGCTCCTCGCGGAAACCAGTAATTTCACACTCGGGGGGATTTTTTCTTTCTGAGGGTAATGCCTTGTGAAGAGTCAAAATCCCGTGGCTTGGTGAGGTCGAGGTGCGATCCAGTAGGAGGACTGCGCTGCAAACTCATGTTTATAAGAGATTATACTTGTACGTGGAGGTTACTCGACGCGAACAGCAGGTGGAGCGAAGGTATCAAAAGAAAGATTCACGAAGTATTCCGAGGTTAATCGATACGCTTACGATGAGGCACATTAGTAAACGTAGTAACGTGAGTAAACGTAATAAGAATGTTAGCCGTTTCTTTCGCTCACATACGGAGGAAGGGATTACACTGTCAATAAGCCTATTGCACTGCACAAGATAATGAACACTGTAGCAACGTAATAAGGTAATAGTTTAAGTCACACTGTCAGTATTTCAATATCGAATCTAACCGACACAGGTCCGCTCATCAACAAGCTTCGAACAAGACTGTATATTATATATATATTATATATGAGTTTAAAAATACCATTTTGTACGGTTTATTATGAATTGAAAATGAATAATTATAATTATAATAAATAGTCATTATTTTATGGTAAAAAAATTAGCAAAGCTTTATCTTCTCATTGTAACTATCTAATTCCGGTCGTAATCTGTTCTTTTATGCATTAACTTAAACAAAATATAATTTAGAGATTTCACATCTGCCAGGCGTCCCTTTTTTAACTTTTTACGTAGTTTGTACTTTGTTTATGCTTTTCTTTTGTTCATGTATTGTTTGTAAATATCTCAAGCAAACCCAAACGGCTCTTTTCAAAACCACCGAAGGTGTGCAATTGCATATTATGTCATACAATCTATCTAGCGGTAGTTTACTTTCTGTGTGCTTTGTTAAACACGTCCTTGTCAGCACTGAATATGAAACTAAAGAGTGGAGACAGCTCAAGATTGGTGTATTTTTATTAAACTGCTAAAAATAACAAAACAATATCTTGGACTTGCCCTAGTTTGGAGCCCTAGCTTCGCCACTGTAACGTGTAGGATAAAATAAAGAGAATTATTTCTTATTTTAAATTTCAAAACCATTCTTGCTCTCTTTGTCTTTTTAATTTATATTGATAACTTTGGTGTTAATTGTAAATTAATCATAGACACCATTTAATCATGTTTGTTATAAATCTTTTATTATATATATTTTTAATTACTGCCATCGTAGCATTTTTGCTAAATCTGTAACAAATTGATTGCTTAATATAATCTTTATCTCCTTTATCATCAAACCAAAACGTGTCCATGGTTATATTTTCATTCTTAATATCCTCAGTCTTCAAAACCTATGACAGTTGCATTGTAATGTAGTGAGGAGAACACTAGCATCTCATCAAAGATTAAGAAGCACAAGCACTCTGCCATGCTCAATCTTTGTTCTTTCATTTGCTTAAATATAATATTGTATTGTGTATAATGTATTATTTTTGTTGATTTATGTGGTATCTTCCACAATTTATTAGATTGATTCTAATTTCGCAAATAGTTTATGAAGTTGTATAATGTATGAGTATGTTATAATATGCTGCAGTAGCTCAGATGGTTAACGCTCGCCGCTGTAAATATAACAGAACGCGAGTAACCCGGGTTCGATCCCCGCCAGCACCAATGAAATTGTTAATTACAATTTTAAGTGCTGATTTACCTCAATCTCGGCGGTGAAGGAAACCATCGTGAGGAAACCTGCATGTCTGAGGCATAAGGAAAAAGAAATTTTCGAAGACATGTGAAGTTCGACAACACGCATTGGGGCAGCGCGGCGGACACTTCCTTGCCCGAAATTAGAATTTCATAGCCTCAGAAATTAGAGGAGGCCTGTGCCCAGCAATGGGACGTATATAGGCTATAACTTTACTTTTACTATGTTACATATGAAATACTCGTTTTGTAAATTATCTGTATTTTTTAAAAGTATAGTTATTACACACATTTATATATTGTTATGTTACTAAAAATGTATATTTTTATATTATATTAATGACGTGCGTCTTTAACAAATTATTACCAATTATTGTTAATATACATTAACTAATACAATTAATATACATTAACAATTAATTGATACTAATTCATGAAATTATGTAAGAGGAGCAAACCTTTGGAGAGGATTCAATTACCAATGTGCTCTTAAATGGGAAGATGTTGAGTCTTGTGGATACCACTGTTTTTCTTAGTGTTAATATTGGGCTCATGCGACTGACATTGATATTGACATTGATATTGATGCCATATTTTGGTTTAAAAGAGATCCGTACGGTCAATTTATATCTTAAATTTTAAAGAGTCCCTTAGAAAAAATTTATAGAAATAAACATATTAACTTTGGCATAGCAATATATTTATGAAAATGTAATGTATCTACATAAAACATAAATAGGTAGCTTTCATAAAAATAAAGATGTTCATACTTTAAACACTAGGAACAAACATAACCTTGTAATACCAGTTACTAGACTCCACTGAGTCAGTATCATGGGGCAATGTATTATACGCTTTTACAAGAAAATGTACAAAATTTGTATTGACAAATTTTGTTTATTGAAACAAGTTGAAATGTTTTATTAAAGGAAAAATGTACAAAAGGTGTTATAATATCAAATAATACATAAATAACTCCTCGGAATGAGGTGATCGCCACCATGGCTGTATGTACTATTACAATGTATCTAAAAAGTGTACAAACAAATTATTGTAAAATGAAATATGTTTAAAAAAAGTCCCGCTGGGTTTCTTGCTGGTTCTTCCCAGGACAGAGGTATCAGTGGTAAATAAAACATGACTTTCAATAAGTATTATGTAATAATTTATATTTAATAAAAAATATTCCATTGTATGCTATTCTCTGTAATATAAGATATTTACTAACCAGTAGGGACATTGTATAAAGAAATCAATTGATATTGTGCAAATATTGTTAAATTTAACACATCTAATGTTATTCAATAACTAAGCAAAGAATTTTTAAACAATACGCATTTTAAAAACCCATTTTTTATTTTTTGTAATAGGAACTAACAGCACAAGAAACATAAACAACTATTAATTACATTGCAGCACTTGCGTAATGTAATTAGTGATTGTATATAAAATAAAAATAGTAAAGTGCAAATAAAGGGCGAGCCCAAAGCACTATTAATTTAACGTCATCTATTAGGCAAAACCCGAACTGTAATGAAAATTAAATTTGAGTTGCACATCTATCTCTAAATATATATATATATATATATATATATATATATATATATATATATACAGTACCGTAAAACGTGGCAAGTTTGCCCAAGCAGTGTAACTTTGTCCATTAGGGCATTTTTCAACAAACCGAAAAAATATGTATAATATTTAGTTAGTTAGTAGTTATTTAATCTGTGTGTACAAAATTCAACTTATTCCTGGCAACACTAACACTCAAACTGTCATTTACTTGACTTTAGTGACTTGTCAGTCGTTGTCAAAGTTGGTCGTGTTTTCGGCGGGCGAAATTCTGTGTGAAAACTTCAATAAAAGTCGAAGTTGCAGTTGCAGCAGGTAAGTAGTGTTTTAAATATTGTAAATATACTAAAAATAAATACGAAAGAAGGTTAATAAACGGTGAAATGTCTCTGCAAGTGATAAATATGGCGGTGGGCAAAGTTACCTTAGCGTTGTCACTACACCTCTTGGCAATTTTGCCCACCAAAATTCTAACATCAGGGTTGTCAATTTTGTGTTTCTGCATTTTTTTTAAGTTTACCTAATTAATATATTTGTAATAATTTGTTAAGCTTTTTAAACGCAGTTATGTGAGTTACGTAATACTTTAAACTTTGATATTTTATTTTTACGTTGTTGTATTTAGGCACTAATGTTACGCACAAAAAAAAAGTATGTACAAAGGTCGCAGAATAGGGGATTTTCTATAAATATTTATTATAAATAAATGATATTTGCGATGACAATGTGACATCATTTTCACACAAAAAAGCATGTTTATGCTTTTTTTATTATTTGAAATTCAAAACCGCGATATCGATTTTTTTTTTCGAGCATATAATAAAAAATACCTTTTTTGTAGAAAAAAGTTGTCATCGCAAAGAGGCGATATGTAAGTACCCTAGTAAACAACAATAGAAGTTTTTTTCTGCTCTCCCAGATCAATTAGTATTTTCTACAATTAATTATTTTAACGACATCAATACTTACCTAAGTAACCATTTTACTAAGATTTTTTTCTGAATTAAGCTACCTACCAGAAAATCCCCTATAAAAAGTTATACATATTATAATCTGCTTACATAACTTAGTAACTTTATAATTCGTATATTTATATGCTGAAACACTGAATGACATGTCGTTATATACAACTTGTTAATGAATAAGCGCACAACCTTTTATGTAATGATTGTGATCATGACATGAACCACTTTTACTATGGGCCGACTCTACAACTAAAAAAAAATTTACTGTTTCATACAAATTGTCAATACATAGGTACTAGACCAGAATGTATGAAATAGCAGATTTTTTTATAGAGGACGTGAACTTATTCCTTAACACGTTTTGTATGTGTTTCCATTTTTCATAGTCTTTGTGAAAGTTTATTTCATGAGTGTAAAAGTTAGATAAAGCACCATAATGTTTTTTGTTTTCAGAATAAACATGGAGAGTCGATCGCGAAAGAAAATAAATAGAAGAAAACTGGGATCTCGACGATACAGAAATGTTAGAAAAAAAAATTAATTTCCAGTAGGGATGCTGAAAAGCAGTTCGACATTCCACGTCGAATGAAAAAGGTGCATATGAACTCCATGGGGAGAAAAAAAAATTAACGGACAAAGAGGAGGAAAAGTTAGTCGGTGTACTAATTTATGCCGCAAACTTTGGTAGTCCAATGACTAAATTGGATTTAAAGT